TTGTTTTCCGGGTTTTGTGATGTCACAAAGCGGTCCTTTAGAATATCATTAAAATAATTCCCGCCTACGGAAATTCTAATGGTTGTGGGGGCGGGTGGCTGGTCGTGGTTAGAACGCTTGGTTGAGTTCATCAGACAAGAGGAGACAAAGACGAAGTGCTGCCTTAGTGTCAAGTTTTCACAAGTTATTACACATGCAACTGAATAATTATGTATGTAAATATTATGTATGTAAATATGTTACAATTATGAAAACGTTTTTATAATAAATTGCTGACAGTACAATACTGGACAATGATGTAATCTGCAGAATTTACACTTCAATTATGAGACTACAGTGTTTCCCATACATTGAGTGCGGGTGTTTTTATATCACTGTATTTCTGAAGGAAACCGACTGTCTTCAGAAAATTGGATGTCATTTTCATTTAATCTTGCATGTAATGTCTGATAAAGCAGTGTTTTTTTGAACAGACCGCTGCTTTGTGTACAGCCGTTACCGGGGAAACCTTGATCTCTACCACTCCAACAGCGCTTCCTATGGAACGATATTCCGGACAATTTTCAAAAGGAATTACTGAAATCCATACGCATAATATGATATTGATGACATCTAGAGCCTATCGCTCTGTCAACTCACTTTCTCATAGTGAGTCTCCATGCAGAGGAAGATTGTGTACGCAGTGAGACAGGCCAGACAGCCCTCCAGATATGACCTGCCGCCCAACTTTTCCGCCTCTGCATAGAGATTATTCAGGGTCTGTATGGTCTCCTCAAACTGCTGCTTGTCAATCTGTAACAACAAAACAATTATCAGTATTCAGAATCCATGTGCCAAAGCTTTGGATATATTTGACATCTGTAAATACAGATTAGTGGTAAATGGTTCTTTTGTGTTAGCTATGGATCTCCACACACCCTGCTCTCCAGCTCAGCTGGGAACTTGGTCTGGAACTTGCAGATGGTTCCAGAAGTGTAGTCTCTCTGAACGAAAACCTTGGAGGTGACGGCTGCTTGCCGCAGGTCCTGCAAGCTGTGCGTCTGGTGAGAAAACCACAGATTACAGGTTATTAAAAAACAATACATCTTCTATCCTCAAAAATAGTGATCTCCACCTTTTAAGTTCTTTAAGGGGAGACACTGCAGGCAAAAACACTGATGTTTTGAAGTTTGAGATTTTGGACTTTTTAGTTTTTCATAAAGTGTTTTTTTCAGACTAGTGGAAAGAATAGAAAACATCCAAAAAACACCGTTAATTGTTTCTTTTATAGCACTTTATCTGTGTCAATAGATTTCATTTACAATACATATTTTTAAAGGCCGTTTTCTCAAAATGAGTTGTTTTCTCCTACACTGAGCCATAAATCTCCACTTCAGTAGCACTTACACACACCAAACTTTACATTTTTATTCCCATCTATATCCTGAAGGTTTTTACAGAGGGATTTGTTCACATATAATTTGCATTTTATTCCCCAAAACATGAATTATGGAGCGACAAAAATTAGATACCCAAAATTTCCTCTGTAAAAACATTAGACTAATGTCAAAAAAAATGAATCAAGAATTTTTAAAATGACCTCAATCAGTGTTCAGATTTTTGTACTAGAAATTAGTGGTCGACCGATATATCGCCAAGGCCGATATATCGGCCGATATTTGGCATTTTTCAAATATCGGCATCCGCCGATAAGTTTTTCTGGTTGGCCAATGTGTTCGAGGACATTTATTTTGACGGCGCTGAGTGAACGCCAGCGCCTGAACAGTTCTGTCTAATATGGATAGAAGTCTATCTAATAATCAGATAAATAAAGTTTGTTAACTGTTAACTTTGTTAACTGTTAAACAAAGTAATTAAAATGTATACAAAAAGTATTATAACGATTGCTTTAATATTATTAGTAATAGTAAGGCAAACCGGCATCGGCCGATAAGTTTTTCTGGTTGGCCAATGTGTTCGAGGACATTTATTTTGACGGCGCTGAGTGAACGCCAGCGCCTGAACACAGTTCTGTCTAATATGGATAGAAGTCTATCTAATAATCAGAAAATAAAGTTTGTTAACTGTTAACTTTGTTAACTGTTAAACAAAGTAATTAAAATGTATACAAAAAGTATTATAACGATTGCTTTAATATTATTAGTAATAGTAAGGCAAACATTATACTTTCTCATTTGCCATCAGCATTCAGCAAATACGCATTTATATCATTTAAACAAATCTTTGAATGACTAATGAACATTTAATTTCACAAACCTTGCAGACTTAGTCGAATCTAGTTGAAGTGTGCATTTGTATCCTGCATGATCACGTGTTCTCTAGGTGACGGTCGGTCTGTGCAAATTGAATGCTGACAGGAGGAGAGTTCTGCTTGACTGGAAACGCGCGATCGACGAACTTTAAACTAGTGATTTCATTTTCAAATTATGCAGCGCTTTATGCATTTGCCCACTATCATATTCATGTCATTTTCATTGCATGCTGTATGTAAAATGAGTGTTACCTTGGCTTTATTTGAAAAAAGAAAAAAGATTTCTAATTCACACAAACTTCCCAGAATACTGAGTGCCCTGTTCTCTAGGTGACGGTCGGTCTGTGCAAATTGAATGCTGACAGGAGGAGAGTTCTGCTTGACTGGAAACGCGCGATCGACAAACTTTAAACTAGTGATTTCATTTTCAAATTATGCAGCGCTTTATGCATTTGCCCGCTATCATATTCATGTCATTTTCATTGCATGCTGTATGTAAAATGAGTGTTACCTTGGCTTTATTTGAAAAAAGAAAAAAGATTTCTAATTCACACAAACTTCCCAGAATACTGAGTGCCCTGTTGGTTTCAGTGTTTACTTCCTTTATAATTAGATTTTTATTAAATATTTATTTGTGAAAAATGCTTGGTCTTCTAAAGTATAAGTATGTTTATTTTACACAATTATTTTTAA